GTTTTACTTTCGCAAAATGAGCATCAACAACTCCACAATCGAGTTTTTAAATTCTTGCAAACAACAATTTCACAGTCCTTGACTTCGCGTTTTTCTTCACGAATCATCCCTCAATCATCAATCCAATTGCGAATCAAAACTCATATGTTCTTGCTTTATCGATTCATCGACTACACTCATACAAATGCGAACAATACTCAATTTCAAAATCGATTGAAACTTATAGCAAAGCTAAATCCAACTTCGCATTCAAAGCAGTGTTATTGATTGCATTCATGAAATACTAACAAGATAATATATTATAATACAAATATACATATTTTAGGTGGTGAAATCGTAACAGCCTAACAATTTGGTATGCAACTTTATTAAATCAATAAAAAAAGTTATGCAAATTGGAAAAATAAATAAAAATATATCTTTTGTTGTTTTAATTAAGGAAATAAATATTTTATATGAATACTCACCTGGAAAAACGCATATTATAATTGTCTAATTTAATCGTAACATCCTACCAATGTACTTTCTTCTTGACTGTTTGATTGTTTTTTTCTGTGTGCTGATTATAATTGTCTAATTTAATGTAAATTTTTTTTTTTAACTTGCAAGGTACAATGGAACATATTACTCCTATAAAGGAAATTGACTCAATCAAGGACGATTTCACAATTAAAGTTCGGATCATACGTCTTTGGACTCAAAAGTCAAGAACAATGTCTTATAATTGTCTATATCCCATTTTTAGTAATTTATTCTCAAAGAACAATGCTATAATCTGTAATTTATCATCTTTTAGTTTAATTTTCTAAATATATGTGTGGTTGTCTATGTGTGTGTATCTCTTTAAAAATTCTGCAATTTCATCATTTTATGACCCCCATTTGCGAAGTTGAGTATTTATTTCCAAAAATGCGAAACTCCAAGGACAATATTTGAAAATTTCTGTTTTCTTCCCCAATTCGCATTCTACTGTGAAATACTTCGCATCTTCATTCTTACACCCTTCGCATCCCTTCGCATTAATCACCTTCGCATTTTAACCTAATTAATCAAATGCGAACCACAAAATTTTCATTCCAGATGCGAACACAGTTTAGTTCTTGAACTCTAAACTTGCGAAATCAAAAATTCATATGTTGAACCCATATGCGAATATTAACCCAATTGACTTCAAATTGATTCACAGATGCAAACACTCGATTGTTTTACTTTCGCAAAATGAGCATCAACAACTCCACAATCGAGTTTTTAAATTCTTGCAAACAACAATTTCACAGTCCTTGACTTCGCGTTTTTATTCACGAATCATCCCTCAATCATCAATCCAATTGCGAATCAAAACTCATATGTTCTTGCTTTATCGATTCATCGACTACACTCATACAAATGCGAACAATACTCAATTTCAAAATCGATTAAAACTTATAGCAAAGCTAAATCCAACTTCGCATTCAAAGCAGTGTTATTGATTGCATTCATGAAATACTAACAAGATAATATATTATAATACAAATATACATATTTTAGGTGGTGAAATCGTAACAGCCTAACAATTTGGTATGCAACTTTATTAAATCAATAAAAAAAGTTATGCAAATTGGAAAAATAAATAAAAATATATCTTTTGTTGTTTTAATTAAGGAAATAAATATTTTATATGAATACTCACCTGGAAAAACGCATATTATAATTGTCTAATATCACTATTCTTCATTTTTTCTAAACTTTCATATCTTTTTTTTGTTACAAATTAAAAACTATAATTATATTTCAATTTATCACCCGTGGATTTTCACGGGTTTAAACCTAGTCTCCTATATACCTAAACAAGGGTATATTTGTAATTGAATCTGTAATTTTAGTGGCTTAATCAAATTCTTCCTTGGAAGAATCACCGCCCTTAGTAAAATCAAGTTACTTGAACATTACCAAGCGATGGCTAGGTTAGCATTATATTATACATACAATTAATCCTCATAACATTGAGGAACAGTATAGTATTGTTTGTTTCAGAAATTTGTCACCATATTTTCAAGATTTGCCACTTCTAGTCCCTACTCTTTACTAAATTGGTGTGCTGGCCGCATATTTTTGAGATTTGCCTCTTTCGGTCCCTACTCTTTATAACTTCCTATGCTCAAGGTATGTATATGCAAATTTTCTTTATAAAAATTATTAAATGGTTGTGTTGGTAAACATTATTCCATACGTATACTAACCTCTCTTACCCGCACTAAAGTGTGGAGCTTTTCCTAGTTATTATCAACATACGTACATTAACCTCCCTTGCTCGCACTAAAGTGCGGAGATTCTTCTAGTTATTATCAAATTAACAAAAATATCATGCACGATGTATGTCTACCAACGAACTATTCAACAATATTCAAAAAGTTATTATGTTAATTTATTAAATATAATGATTTTCTAATTTTGATTTAATTAATGTTTCGTAACATAATTACCTAAGAAAATCTTGTCCTTGCGTAGAATATTAATGTCATAATATTTTTAATTCAATACGTGGAATTATAAATATTCAAAAAATAATATTTGATATTTCAGAAAATTGTTATTATTTTGCTAGAAATTATATTATTACTTTTCAAAAAATATAAGGACGTATATATAAGTTTTATAATTTAATTAAATAATAGCATATGACCTTATAATCTTTTCTAATTATATACAGTTTTAGAATTAAATTAGGATTTTATCCGTCTCGCGTTACGGCGTCAATAATGTATTCGAGAAGTAGTAGAAAGTAAATTGTTATATTTTGAACAGAAACTTAGGAAAACTTAAGTTGACAAACCACAATAGTGAATAGTAAAAATCATACCAAGGAGAGAGAACTAAAATTGTATTATATGCAAAACGTATATAAATATAAAGTATATAAATATAAGTAAGTAAGATTCAAATAATTTAAAAACGTATTACATGTAACCCGACTCATATGTAGAAAACGTACATAAAAATAAGCACCGAAACATAAAAAAAATTACAAAGAAACGTAGACGAACTCGAATTTATACTGAAACATATATAAAAAACAAAAACATTTTTTTTTTAAATTAACGAACTAAAATTCTAAATTACGTCGAAACATTAACCACCTCTAATTTATACCGACGTATATGAAATGTTAGAAAATTAGAATGGTAACCGTAGATAAATCAAATTATATATATTACTATGGATAAAATAGAATAAGAAAATAGAACGAGTGAAATTGATATGTTTTAAAATTTAAGTATAGGAGTGAATATAACATTTTAAAAATTAAAGGGTTGAAAATGTTATTTTATAAAATATAAGGATGATAGCAAACTTAGTAGGAGGATTTAAATTGTAAAAAATTAAAAATTGTAGGTGTTGGTGATTAAAGAAAAAAGAATGAGTAATTATAAACAAATAGTATGAAAAGAGGGAAGTAAACATAAAAAAAATATAAGAGAGAAAAATCGAAAGAATGGCCAATCAAAAAATTTTTAGAAGATGTATAATTTAATAATAAAATATAGTTTTTTAAATTCATATAATTTCCCCTCTAAAGGGGGGACACGGTAATTTATTTTTTTATAATCATAACCTTACATACAAAAAAAAAATGGGGATTTGACTTAGTAAGGTAATTAAGTATTTCAAATGTTCATATATGGGTAATATTGTTTTTTTTGTACTCATTTACCCAACAAACTTGTTTTAGTCGTTCAATAATAACCAACATTACCGGCTATTGTAAGTTTTGGGTGATGTGGCATCTACGTGGCTTGTACGCTACAATATTCATCACCTACGTGGCATTGAGAAGTGCTTACATTATAAGAGGGTGAGATACGACAGCTTATTAATTAAAACCCTAGATCGATCGATGGCATCTTCTTCCTCATCCTTTTCTTCCAAACGACTAGACGAATTACAACCGGATCATCCATGTGATTGCGATTTGCCATCTCGTGTGAAGACATCAAGAACCCCAGACAATCCTGGAAGGAAATTCAGAGTTTGTCAAAACTCACTGGTAATTCATATTTTTTACTTCTTCTTCATCCTTCAATTTAACATGTTCTTATAAATTTCTTGAAGAATGGAAAAAGTCCAAGCTGTAAATTTTGGCAATGGTTGGATGAGGATGAAGGGAGGAAAGATGGAAGAGGGCATTACAGGATGAAAGCAGAAGAAAGCTGCAATCTTACCTTGAAAATTTGTACCTTGGAGAATGAAATCAGCATATGTAGGATGAAGATTGAAGAAGAGAAGAACAGGAATAAACAAGAACTTGACAAAGTCAACTGGAAATTGTTTACCCATAGACTTGCATTAATTTTCTTGTTTCTCTTGTATGTCAAAATGTTTTTTAAATTATGTATTATGATGTAGTATGACTAAATTATGTATGCTTTTGTGATGTTTTCAATGAAAAAGGTTATATTCTATCATTGGAATGGAATAGTACATTGTAATGGAATGGGTATTAAACTTGGTAGTATAAAAGATAGTAATAAACATTGTTATGGAATTGAATCATTGTAATTGAATCATTGGAATGGTAGTGTACAAAACTTGTAATGTTATTGTTAATCACTGGAATTGAATTGTTCAAACAATGTAATGGAATTGTGATTACATTGTAAAGGAACTGTGATTACAGTTGATATTCTAAAAGATGGTAATAAATTATAAATAATACAAATGGTATTAGAAAGATGTGCAAAAGATGGTAATTGAAACATTGGAATGGTAGTGTACAAAACTTGTAATGTTATTGTGAATCATTGGAATTGAATTGTTCAAACAATGTAATGGAATTATGATTACACTGTAAAGGAATTGTGATTACAGTTGATATTCTAAAAGTTGGTAATAAATTATAAATAATACTAATGGTATTAGAAAGATGTGCAAAAGATGGTAATATATTATAGACATTCCAGGGAACATTGACTTCAAAAGATGTGTCAAAAGTTTTACATAACATAGTTAAACATTCATTACACCCAAAAGATGTGCAAAAAGTTAAGCTATTCCAACTAGTTTTCAAAAGATGTGCCAAAAGATTCCAAAGTTAAAAGATGTCAGTCAAAGATGCCAAAAACATTAACAACAGTACAATAAGCCAAAAGTTAATCCAACTCATACGGATTGTCATCACTACTGCCCTGTTTTCCCTCCCACATCTTTCTTATCTTCAGTTTTGTAATTCTTTCTGAAGGTTTCCTTGCCCTCTTTCCCACTACAACTTGAAAAGCTGGTATTTCCACTTGATCTTGAACTACAATTTGGTTAGCATCTTCAACTTGAACTTGCACTTCAGGTTCAACTTCAGCTTGAACTGCAAGGTGAACTTCAACTTGGTTAGCATCATGAACTTCAGGATGATTTTCAGGTTCAACTTCAGCTTGCACTTCATCTTGAACTTCATGTTGCACTCCATCTTGGACTTCAGGTTCTACTCCATCTTCAACTTCAGGTTGCACATCATCTTCAAATTCAAGATCAAAAGAGTCAACATCACTTTCAGGTTCTATTTCAACTTCACTGTCACTGTCAATATCAACTTCATGTGCCAATACAACCTTCACTTTATCTGTTTTGTATTACTTGAAAAGTTAAGTTATGCCCAATATGTTAAGTTATACAAGTTATATACAAATAAATATATCAAACATACCAGCTTTCTTGGATTTCTTTTTCTTTGAACTTGCATTTGATGATTCCCCAATTGGTTTTTGAGGACAGGTTGTTCTATTATGCCCACTTTCCCTACATATGCTGCATTTCATCACACTACCTCTTTTTGTGATTGAATGCTTTTTTCCTTGGTTTTCCCTCTCAATCTGATCCCTTTTCCTTTTTGTTGATGGTCTTCCTGGTAGCCTTCTCCTTTTGGGGGGCAATGGGCTGATGTAGTCTACATGAGGCCACATGTCACTACCATTTAGTGGGTTAATGGTATTCCTGTAACAGTTTAGGTACATTGATGTGGTAAACCATGGTGACACATACTCCTGTACATCCCTGTTGAGGCTTGCAATGCAAGCATACCCATGCACACAAGGGTAACCTGTTAACTGCCAAGTTCTGCAGGCACATGTCCTACTACCAATATCCACAACATATGCATCATACCCAAGTCTGACTTCATACTGTTGATAACCAGATGGTATTACTTTCCAAAACCTGTCCATATACACATGTTTAAAGACAAACATATATAAGGACAAACATGTTTAAAGACAAACATATATAAGGACAAACAGTTTTAAGCACTTACCTTTGAAGATCCTTAAGCTTGGACAACTTCAGCCTAATGGTAGGACATATGGTTAAATCCCAAGATTGCCCCTTAATCTTCTGTCTATAAAGCCTCTCCATCACATAAATTCGAATTTCTTCTAACATGGTGATTAGTGGTCTCTTCCTAGCAACTTCAATCACAGAGTTGAAACTCTCAGAGATACCATTTTCATATGCATCACAAGCCCTATCAGTCTGAAAAAATGCTTTACTCCAAGTTTTAGGGTCCCTTTCCATCAAATGGTCATAAGCTAGTGGCTCTAATTTCTTGATTTCATTCATGTGTTGTTCAAATTTTGCAGGGGTAGTAGCTGCAGCAGCATACCAGAAAAGCTTTCTAAACACTTGGCCCTTAAACCTTTTCAGGAAGTTAGCACATATGTGCCTAGCACATTGCCTATGCTCTGCTGCTGGGACCCTTTCCTTCACAGCCTCAAGTAATCCCTGTTAGCAATAGACACAAAATTTAAACAACAAAAACATAACATAAGCTAAAATAAAGATGAAAATAATAAAAATTGATTACTTTGTGTTGGTCTGATATCAAGGTTAGTCCATGCCCAACTCCCATTCCAAGGTCCTCAATTAGAAGGTTAATAAACCACTTCCATGTTTCTTTACTTTCCACTGATACAACAGCCCAAGCAATGGGATATATATGGTTATTTGCATCTCTACCTATAGCAGAGAGCAACTGACCTCTGCATATGCCCTTTAGGAAGCAACCATCTAGTCCAATTACCCTCCTACAACCTTCAATCCATCCATCCTTCAATCCCTTGAAACATACATAAAACTTTGAGAAATATGTGGTTCCATCAGGCATGACATCTACATCCATCTTCACTGTTGATCCAGGGTTAGTCCTTCTTATCTCTTCTCCATAGCTCCATGTTTTTGCATAATGCTCTTTCAAAGTACCCTCTATCTCCTGAAATGCATACTTCCTTGCATTTCTGCATTGACCAACACTTGCAATCAAATTAAATTTCTTGCTGACCTTAGCTTTCAACTTCCTTATACTCATCTTTGGTTTCTGAAGTATATGATTCATGAAATGCTTTGCTATCCATTTATAGGTAACAATGGACCCAAATTTGAACACTCTTGCACAATTATGCATATCATTCAGAGATTTAATCTGGAATGATTTTTCACTGCTCATCCAGGTTGCCCATAATCTAAAAGGACAACCTTTACCCTGTTTATTTGTCTTACCTTTACAACATTTTACCAATAACCTTTCATGATCACTTTTCTCATACCATAAATCATATCCATTTTTGACTGCATAGTTGGTGATACACAACTTCAATTCCAATGGATTAGAAAACTTCATACCCAAAACTGGCACCATTTGCTCCCATTCTTGATTCTCATTATGGACAGGGAACACAACATCCTTAAGTTTCCCATTGTTTGCTTCCTCTTCATCATCATCACTAATATGCCCTGAAAGTTTGTCCAAGAATGGGTCTCTAACAGTTTTATCAAAAGTATGTTCATCTTCATCATCCCATTCATGTTCATATTCCATTTTCATTGAAACTTCAGAATCCTTGTCATCCTCTTCATCCAACTCATACCCTTTACCATCTTTTAAGAACTCGTTATCAGCCCAATCAAGAATTGGTTCATTTCGGTGGTCAACTCACTCTCAAGACTATCACTCTCCAGACTATAAACAGTCTCCACAAACTCCCAATAATCAGCATCACTGTCGATTCTTCTAATACCCTCACACAAGCTTTCCTTTCTCATACAGTAGTAGACATTATCACATTCTCCATTTGTTAATTTCGTAAGCCACAAAAGAAACTCTTTATACGTAAATCCCCCAAAATCCACATCACGTACATTTGTTTTTACGGGGTCTAAGTACACCAATGGGTTTGGCGAAAAGAATCCATTGTAATGAAAATCTACATATACATACATACCTGTAGATGAGGATGCCATGCTAGTAGTCGACTTCAATTCCAAGACCTAATCGTCGATTTGATGTATCGATTGATTTCTCACAGAAGAAGGTAATCGAGGTGTGTTAGCTGACGATGACGAACCCTAATTAAATGAGAAAGGGGTGTAATGGCCACGTAAGATTCCACGTAATGTTTTAAACCGAGCTAAATCAATGTTACCGGCTAAAACAGGTAATAGCCGGTAATGTTGGTTATTATTGAACGGCTGAAACAAGTTTGTTGGGTAAATGAGTACAAAAAAAACAATATTACCCATATGTGAACATTTGAAATACTTAATTACCTTAGTAAGTCAAATTCATATATCCCCCCCCCCATACCATATACAAACATATCAGATACACTAGAACATTAATAAGCACAGACTTTGGATATAAATACAGATAATACACATATTATCCAATATACACTTTTAAAAATGATGTTTGTGACTTCCCTAAAAATTTCATTTTTAAATTCATTTTAAATCATATGATAATCACATCAAACAGTTAAAAGTATACCATAGTAAAATGATATTAAAGTACAAAATCTCAAAATCATGTGATGCGGAAAAACATAGCTGGATGCAGTGAAATCAGGATGAGTCTTTCCCTTTCAAGCTGGAAGTATCTGAAATATAAACTGAAAACCATAAACACAAAGCTTACTGAGTTCCCAAAAAATACCTCATACCATACATACATAACAGTAAAAAAACATTTCACCCCATTCGGTATCTTTCAACCGGTATCGGATCTATTTCACCCCTACCACTAACACATAAAATCATAAAAATAAGAGTTACAGAGAAATCAAGTAGATATAGGCATAACAAGTAATTATCACGAAGACAAACATCATACTACAAATATAATATGGTGGCCCGACATTGATGCCTTCGACCCGCGGATATAGTGATGGAAACTCAACTCAGATTGAAGATATCAAATCACACTCAGGCTGCTGACTCATGAAATGCCCTCACTAAATCACGAATAAAGAAACCCTAATTAGAAATTAGGTAAATAATCCAACCTATGAGTCCAAACCCTAAATCATGAGGGAAAAAAAGTTGATTAATCATTGCCTTATTGCGCCTACCCCACCAAGGCCCAAATCCAAACTAGCCCAAAAGGATTCCAAGTCCAACTAAAAAGGACCTTAAGGCCCAACATGGGCCCAAGAGCTCCATAATGGCCTAAAGCCCACAAATAACCTGATGTCACAAATAGACCTAAGGCCCAAACTCAATCAAGGAAAAAAGTGCATCTAATCCTAAGCCCAAAACTCCAGAGGCCCACAGAAGGACGTATACATGGCGTACCTGGCTCGTACACCTAGCGTACGCCGCTTGATCCGGAATTAGGGCGTTGGCCCAGTATGCGTAGTGTACACGGGAATACACCTGGTGTATCGGTCGGACAACCAAACCACTCCAAATGTCTTAACCCATTAAGCTTTTAACGCCTAAACTCAGATGCAAGTTCATTTAAGTGTATTAAGCCATAATGTTGCAAGCTTTATGCTTTTGCATGACTTCATGGGACTCAAACCATGGATTAAGACTTTTATCTCCCTTAAGTGGTCACCAACTCATGCATGGTTGAGTTCTAACCTCCAATATCCGATTTTTATGACTCTATGCACTCATAAGAGCCCAAAATGACAGCTTAAATGGTCTGGAGTAGTCCATACTCCATGAGACCAAGTTATGGGACCAAAATGTACTAATTTCTTCCCCAAACTTAGATCTACACTTAGAATGAACAAGTTTCAGACTTTATACCTCCAATGAGCTAGAAATGATGAATAACTTTTGGATCTACAAGCTCCTTCTTGTCCAATGCTTCTCCTCAAACCTTCTTCTTCTTCAAGATCACAAAAAAACACCCAAAAACTTTTTGTAAGCTCAAGAATGCTCTCAAGATGGCTAGGGTTTCGAGATTAGCTCAAAAAGGAAACGAAGGCTGATAAGGTGAAGGACTTAGGGGGGGGGGGGCTTAATGAGCTTAACTAGGATGCAAACCCTAAAAATTATGGTTTGCCCCTGGATTGCGTACGCCCTATGTATGCATGGGTACGCGCATCGTATGTAGGGGTTACCCCATTTCTCGCATGCATAGGAGTACGGCATTCGTACCTTGTATATGCCCAACGTACTCAGGTCTAGTCCATGGGTAATCAATATAATTAGCAAAGTTTACCTTGTGATTCGGGCGTTACAATTTTCCCTCACTTGGATCAGACTTCGTCCTCAAAGTCCGTTGTCACAAATAACCTTGGGTAATGCTCCCTCATCTCTTCTTCAGGCTCCCATGTCCACTCAAAACCATTTCGGTGCTGTCGCTGCATCTTTACCAAACCCACAACCTTGTTCCTCAAGGTTTTCATCTTCCGATCAAGGATTGACACCAACCTCTCAATGTAATTCAGGCGGTCATCCACCTAAATTTCCTCTAATAGAACCACTGCAGAGTCATCAACCAAACACTTCCGCAGCTAAGAGATGTGGAAAGTATTGTGAATCTGACTGATCTCCTCCAGAAGATCTAAAAAATACACTGTTGGATTAGGTGTCTAAGCCCATAACTATAATTTGTATGTACTTGACCCGATAGTAGCATGGTCCATTTTTGGTTGCATTCACCAGAATAATTTGATAGGATGGATATTTAAGAAAGAGGTTATTTGTGATTTATTAATATATTATAAGTAAAATATATTAATTGAGAAATCGTATTATTTAATTAGTATTGATTAAGAATTAATTTGGAATTAATTTAGTGATCAAAAGAGACAAATTAAATTAACAGGGATTGATTATGTAAATCAATGATACATATGGTTTTGGCTAATGATCCATGATTGATTTGTGATGGACTAAGCTTATGAGATAGTCCATGAAGTGTTAGTCTGAATCAATTGTTGGATCATAAGCTTAAGTGTAAGAATTAGAGTTTACAAGTGACTCTTGGAATTCTACACTATATATGTAACCCCTAAGCCCTAAAATCGACACACCAAGAGTATTCTAAGAGATATAGCGATTTTGGTGCTCCAAGCTCTCTCTTATTGTCATCCAATTGTTGGTGGTGTTTTGTCAAACATTTGAGGCATCACACTTGACGTGTTAAGCTCTTAAAAGGCCAACTTCTACAAGCTACAAAAAGAGGTAATTATCTAATTGGTTTTTATGATTCAAATATCAAATTTGTATGCTAGTTAGGCTTCATGATTTGGGAAAACGAAATTGCATGTATAATTAGAGAAAACTTATATCCAAAGAATTAGGCTTGTATGTACACCATAGGGATGTTATAGTGCTCAAAACCCATCATACACTACCCTGCCCACCCGGGCTACAACCCTGAAAAGCCATATATAAATGGGGCCCAGCTTACCCTGCTTCTTGAATCGGATGACACCTTTCCAAGGTAACACCTTCATGAGTAGCATATCCCTGAACTGGAACTCCAAGTCTGGTCGGCATTTGTCTGCATAGCTTTTTTGCCGACTCTACATTGTCTGAAGTCTACCATGAACCTACCGAATCATCTCGGTAGTCTTGAGTAGAGCCTCGGTACTCCCAATGACCCGTTGACCGACCTCACCCCAACATATCGAGGTCCTACACTTCCTCCCATAGAGCATCTCAAAAGGAGATTGATCGTTGTTTGCATGATAATTATTGTTATATGAAAATTCCGCTAACGAAAGATATGTATCCCAATTGCTGCCAAAATCTAGAACGCATGCCTGCAACATATCCTTCAATGTCTGGATAGTCCACTCACTCTGACCATCCGTATGCGGGTGAAAAGTTGTACTGAATTGCACACGAGTAACCAACTCCTCGTGGAATTTCTTCTAGAATCTAGAAGTTAACTGGACATCCCTATCCGAGACCACAGAAACCGACACCCCGTGATGTGCCACAATCTCCCGAATGTAGATGTTTGCCAACTTCTCCACATAGATACTCTCCTGGATCGGGATAAAATGCGCGATCTTGATCAGTCTATCCACGATGACCCATATCGAATCCACTTTGCACGCTATCCAAGGCAATTTGGTGATAAATCATTGTAATATCTTCTCATTTCCAAACAAGAATATCCAACGACTCCATTTTTCCATTGGGTCGTTGATGCTCGACCTTTACTTTCCTGTAAATCAAGCACCTCTCCACATATCATTCCACATCGCCCTTCATTCATGGCCACCAATAATTAGACCGGAGATCTCTATTTTTTGTCGCTTCGGAATGAATAGAGAATCTCGACTTGTGCGCCTCTTCAATCAAAATTTCCCGCGCACCATCCCTATAGGGAACCCACACCCTCCGATGAAGGGTTAATAACCCCTGAATATCATAACCGATGCAAGCCATCTGACCCACAATACACTCACTCTTCTAGTGTTATTCCTTTATAACCTCCATTTGAGCCTCTCAGATCTGCTCTAATAATAGGCTAATTGTCATCATCCTTAAAAATAAATCCTTGATCGGAGCCGTGACCGCCTTGCGGTGAGAGCATCAACCACCACATTGGCCTTCCCCGGTGATAAAGGATCTTACAATCATAATCATTCACCACATTCAACCATCTGCAATGCCTCATGTTCAGATTTGGTTGATCCATCAAATATCTCAGGCTTTTGTGATCCGTGTAGATAGTACATCGGACCCCATAGAGGTAATGTTGCCAAACCTTGAGGGTAAACACCACTGCTCCCAACTCTAAATCGTTCGTAGGATAACTCGCCTCATGAGGCTTCAACTGCCTCAAAGCGTACACAATCACATGACCTCGCTGCATCAACATTACACCTAAACTCGTGAACAAAGCATCACAATATACCACAAAGTCCTCAACACCCTCTGGTAGTGTCAGAATTGGTGCCTCACACAATATCTATCTCAAGGTCTCAAAAGTTGCATGTTGCTCAGGCCGCCTACGAAAGGTAACAGTCTTCTTTACCGCTATCTTGGAG